TAATGTTGAAATTGATAACTTTTTGTGAGAGCATTTCTTGGACTTGGAATATGAAGATGAGTTGTAGGAAATGTCTTTCTCTTCAAAATGAGCTTTGGATGGAATTTTTCTGATAATCCATGTGAAAGTTATGCCCTGGTCAATTTCAGTTGACTTTTTCAACTGTCCAAATATAGCAACTTTTGCATCTTTGATGATTTCTGAGCCAAATTTTGAGAATCATGATCAAGCATTGATCAAATGATGTTTGTGGCTTCAAAATGATATGTTGACCAAAAATTTGAACTTTTGACTGTCAAATGACCATTTTGCCCCTACAGTTGACTGTAGTGCAATCTAGGGTTTTGACTGTGCAATTTTGAGCTGAATGCCTTGAAACTTGATATGAGGATGCTTGACCATCTTTGTAGGCATATGAGACTTGATTGGACCTTTGAAAACTTCCTTTTCTTGATCAGAACCCAAACCCTAGTTTTGACTGTATAGGAGACAGTTGAACTGCATAACCCTTGGGGAATTTTGTGACTTGGCTTAGCAATTTCTTGAAGAATATGGGAGGGCAAATTTTGGGGTGCAACACCGACAAATAGTTAGAATAAAACTCAATTGCTTCTTCTGCAATGTACCTCTCAATAATCGATGCTTCTAGATGGTGTAGGTTTCTTGTATACCCTTTTAGGATCTTTATGTATCACTCTATTGGATACATCCACCATAAAAAAATTGGACCACATAATCTAATCTCTCTTACTAGATGAACAATTAAGTGAACCATAATGTCAAAAAATGAAGGAGGAAAATACATCTCTAATTGGCACAAGATAACTGCAGCCTCATTTTCCAAATCGTCTAACTTTAGTGGATCAATGGCTTTACAACAAATTGCATTGAAAAATAAGCACAACCTAGTTATAGTCTTCCTAACGTTGTTAGGAAATATCCCACAAATAGCCAATGGTAGTAGTTGTTGCATTAAGACATGACAGTCGTGAGATTTTAAGCCAACTAATTTAAGATCTTTAACTGATATAAGCCTCTTGACATTTGATGAGTAACCATGCGGCACTTTGATACTTTGTAAACACTCACAAAAACTTGTTTTCTCTTTTTTAGACATAGTGTAGCAGGCAGGAGGCAAATATGTCTTGTTACCTATATATTGTGGAGTTAACTCTTCTCGTATACCCATCAAACCCAAATCCAGACGAGCATTAATACCATCTTTTATCTTGCCTTGAATGTTGAGAAGTGTTCCGATTACACTATCGCATACATTTTTCTCCACGTACATCACATCAATACAATGTCTTACATCAAGACTAGACCAATATGGAAGATCGAAGAAAATCGATCTCTTTTTCCATACATTTTTCACAGTAGATTGTTTTTGGTACTTTCCAAAGACAACATCAAGTCCTTGTTGTCGCTGATAAACTTCCTCTCCAGACAAGGGCTTTGGAGCAACATCATGCTCTTGTTCCCCATTGAAAGCTTTTCTCAATCTACGATATGGATGATAACGTTTTATAATTTTTCGATGCCCGAGATAAACTGTCTTCTTTCCTTTTTCAAGTTGATGGTAACATGTGTCTTTTTCACATATAGGACACACCTTATGCCCTTTAACTTTATACCCAGACAAATTACCATATGCCGGAAAATCATTGATGGTGCAAAACAACATGGAACACATATTGAACTGTTCGCCAGAATACGCAAAAAAAAACATCCACCCCTTCCTCCCGCAACACTCTTAAATCATCAATCAGTGGACTTAGATAAATGTCTATGTCATTTCCTGGTTGTTTTGGGCCCGATACCATGATTGATAACATAATATATTTACGCTTCATGCACAGCCTAGGAGATAGGTTGTAAATCATCAGGAGAACAGGCCAAGAACTATGGTTAGTACTCAGATTACCAAACGGATTAATTCCATAGGTAGCAAGTCCAAGTCTAAGGTTTCTCGACTCTTTGCCAAAATTTGGAAACAAATAATCTATTTTCTTCAATTGCAAAGAATCACCTACATGACGAATTTGTCCATCATATTTTCTTTCTTCTGAATGCCATCTAAGATTCTTTGCGTCATCTGCATTGGAGAATAATCTCTTGAACCTTGAAATTATTGGTAGGTACGGTAGCACTTTCGCAGGAGGACCCTTTTTGACCACCTCATCATCAATTGATTCACCAAGTTTCTTTTTGTAACGTGACGCCTTGCACTTCTGACACTGATTATAGTTTACATACTCTTTTCTATATAATATGCAATCATTAGGGCATGCATGTATCTTTTCATATTCCAAACCTATTGGACACAATATTTTCTTCGCCTCGTAATAACGACTTGGCATTACATTACCTTCTTGAAGAATTTCGGTCAATAATTCAAGCAACTCAGTAAAACTTTTGTCAGTCCACCCATTCTTTGCCTTCATATTAAATAATTTTAACACGACTGACAGACGTATAAATTTTTTGCATCCCGGGTACAATAGTTTATCCTGGTCACTACATAGAGTATCATACGCATGTGCCCTCTTAAATGAATCTTGTCCAATATCACGCATCATGTCTTCTAGACAATCATCCATTTCTACACTAACATCATCTCTTTGAGACACATTTGACATTGCTACTACTTCACCGTGCCATATCCATTCTGTATAACTTTGACAAATCCCTACACAAATTAGACGATCCATGATTTCTTTCTTTCTATGTTTTAGTTCTTTATTTGCACAACGAACACATGGACAGAGAAAAAACGCAGGAAGACTTTTTTCAGCATTACTTTCAGCAAACTGTAGAAATTCAATCACTCTATGTTCGTACTCGTCACTTAATCGATTAGCTCTCATCCAACTATGATCCATAACTATGTTCACACGGAGGAAGGTCTGACGAAGGGTGTGCCCGCGGCTGCGCTACTTTGCAGAGATTCCGAGATCGCAAGTTGTGCTGCTTTGCGGAGAAATAAAAATAGAATCAAATTTCAATGGCAAGGTGATAACTCTATTAAGTTTGATAGGTTAAAGATAAACTGTGTGTTTCTGAGAGGACCATTAACGTTTGATTCAGAGGTTTCTAAGGAGACAATTTCTCTAATGAAAAAAAATGACATATACACAACATGTACTATATTCTTAACTCTATACAAAATATATACTATTTATAACAAATTAGACTTAATAAACTCTCTAAGAATAATAAACTGTTTAGTAATTAAAAAACAGATATGAACAAAGGAATGAATTCACCAAGCCACTGAGTTAGTATCTAGTATAATCTTCTAATTGGTTTTATATGTACTTCCAATTATTTTATAATGTATCTCAGTAGCAAGAAAAACAACAAGAATATCTTAAAAACATTTTTGTGTATATATCTCTCTTAGAAATCCACAGATATACAATAAAGTTGAACAAAATAGAAAATTTATTACCGAAATCGAAGTTCGACGGAGGAGGAGGTTTTGAAAAAGGCGGAGGGGGTTTCTTACCAGAACCGTCTCGTGATCGGCAGGAAAGGGCGACGGAGATGACGGACGGAGACGGACAGTGACGGAGACGGACGAAGGGCGTTCGTAGATGGACGGAGACGGAGACAGAGCGGTGGGCGGAGAGAACGGGCAGTGTTGGCGGGCGGTGGGTACAGATCTCATTCGTGGGATTCTGTTTTGAAGAGTCAATAACTAAATGAACAATAGTAGGGCTTATTTCATAAATATATATTACATTTTTTACATCGGTGGATTCAAATAACCGATGTAATAGTTATTTCGGTTCTACTTTTTACATCGGTGGAAGTTATTGACCGATGTAATGATTGTTTTTACATTGGTGGAAGTCAATGACCGATGTAAGGATTTTTTGACTTTTTACATCGGTGGAACGCAAGGCCCGATGTAAGGGTTTTTTGGTTTTTTTTTTATCAATCTGCCACCTAGTTTTTTACATCAGTGGATAGGAAGGCCCGATGTAAGGATTTTCTGGTTTTTTTTCCAATTTGTCACCTAGTTATTTATTTACAATACCGCCACCATGTTTTTTTTATAAAACCTTTTACATCGGTTTATTACTTTGACCGATGTAATAGCCAGCGAAAAGTTTTTTAAAAATATTTTTTATATCATTGCAAATAAATACCTGATGTAAAATCTTTTTAATTTTATTTTTTACATCATATATTTTAGTACCTGATGTAAAGTCCTTTTCTCAAATGTCATTTTTTTAGTAGTGCTAGATGGGCTTTGTGCTACCCGGCTCTAAATGGGTTTTTTAATATTAAAAATTAAAATAAAAAATCTATAATATTTATCATACATAAAATAAAAAATTATATTATTTTGAACATAATATATTTTTAAGTAGTATATTATCTTTTATAAATACTATAATATGCTTTTAAATACTATACATGTCTAAATCGTAAAAAAATAATATTCAAATATTTTAGACTTAATTGCACTTTTAGCCTATTATACATTTTTTTCATTTTTGGTCCCTATGGTTTAAAATCCAGAATTTTGGTCCCTTAACTATGTTTTTTTGAGGATTATAGTCTCTTTGCAAATCTAAGACCAATTTTTGATGACATGGCACATAACCTTACGATGTGTCACATGCCAACTCATGTTTTACTTATTTCAAATTTTTTTAATGTATTTTAAAATTACATAATATATTTTATATTTCAGAAAAATAATTTAAACAATTATTTTTTAGAATGAAAATTATGTGTGAACCCTAATTGGAACTTTAATTGTTACATTTCCCCTTTATCACTGCTCACGGCTCACCTTCTTCTTCGCATGCCCTTCGTGTTCATCAAAACCAATTTTGATTTCCAGAAGCTGATTCACATGTCATTCTTGTTTGATTATTAGAAGCTGATTTCACAAATCAATTGTTTTCGTATTCAATCGCAATTTGGTCAGTTGTTTTCTTCAAGGTCGTCGTATCCGTTGTATTCAACACAATCAGTTATTTACAATGTCAAATACAACCTATGTTTCAAGGTAAATGATTATGTGTTTGAACTGTTTATGCTTTGTCGGATTCCTGCGAATGTTTGTTTGAGTCTTGCGTGTTGCTTTATAATCTTGCTGCTACTGTTTGAGTCCTGCTAACTGTTTGTGCTTTGTTTGATTATACTATTTGATTGTTATTGTGTTACTTTTTAACAAAAATTCAGACATAGATGGTACTTTACATTGTACTTTATCCCATGAGTATTTTATTGGTTGTGGTCCCCAAGTCCATTTACAGTGTGGTCCCAAATGTTTTAGATTGTAATATGTTCCATGAGTATTTTATTGGTTGTGGTCCCCAAGTTCCTAATGGTTATTTCTTGTACATGTTTTGTGTAGGCCATCTGTAAACGAAACTGTCAAACTTACAATTCATCATAGGGGAGAATCCATATATCATCTTGTAAAGTTATACGTAGGTACAATTGTTTCTGAAATGAAGTGGGATTTGGATGTGGACTTAATGTCCTTTATGGACCTTGAATCCATGATTACAAGTGAAGGATATGGCCATATAAAATGTCTTTGGTATTGGATCCATGCGTTATCATTTACTCGAGGCCTTCGACCGTTGAATAATGACCAAGATATTCTAACCTTCAATGAAGATGTTAAAGGATACAATGTCATTGATGTTTATGTTGAGAATCCAATTGAAATACCTGTGTTGTAACACAAAATTTTCCCTCCCATTTTTCTTTAAAGCATTCTTTCAAGGCTCTTCAAATTGTCAAGGCACCCAAGGGTTGACTAGTCAAGATGCACCTCCTACACCAAAAGCCTACAACTAGGGTTTGGAGTTTCTCAAGGAAATTAGGTCTTCAAAAGTCTCAAGTGGCTCCCATTTTTATTCATAGGTCCTTAACAAGGCTCGTGTCAAGTTTCAAGCCCTACATCACAAGTTTGCTCAGTCAATGGTTCAGATGCTTAAAAATCAATTGTATTGATCAAAAAGTAAACTATGGTGAACATACAGTCAAACTTCAAGATTTTTGGTTAAAATCAAAATTTTGAAGTTATATTCATCATTTTATCAAGGTTTGATCATGATGCTTCAAGGAAAGCCCTCAGATCATCAAAAGTCAAGAATTGCCAAATTAGGGTTCCTAAGGAGAAGTCAACTGAACTTTGACCAGGCAAACTTTCACATGCCTCATCCATTTTGCCCCAACCAAAGCTCATTGTGAATAAAATTAAATTCCCTACAACTTTTCTTTTTTCCTCAATTTCAAAAAATGAATCACTGGAAAGATATGAGCCAATACATTACAGATCTTTTTGAAAGTCAACAAAAAGTCATTTTTTTCAAGGAAAGTTACATCAAGATTATTTCTCAAAATGAAAAACTGGTCAACATAGAGATTGTAAGGGACATCTTAAGCTTTCTAAAAATTCAAAAGATCATCTCCAAAAGATAAAAATTAAGCAAGTTATGACTAGTACAAACTGAGAAAATTGGTGAAAATGAAAAAAAGTTAACTTTGAGCAAAAATGCATTTTTAAGTTCATAGACCTATTTTGTTAGATTTAAATATGTTTATGACTTACTCAAGGATGCCTAAATTAACTCTAACCTTGATTTTCATTTTTTAACTATTTTATTCATATTTATTTTTGTTTTTATTCAAATAAACACAAAATAAATTGCATAAAATAATAAATAAAAAGTATGGACACATGGGCTGATGATTTGGGTTGATATTAGGCCTTAGAATTCATGCAAGGAATGAGGAAAAAGACCGGGTTAATTGCATCTTAAGAAGGGTAATTTTTTCATTATTTTTGAAGTATATTAATATGTTTGATATTGGTTTGAAAGGGGTCATTATGTGTGGATTCTTTCCATGTTTACTTACCATTCCATCCCTCTATAAATACAAAACAAAAGCATAAGAAAAGGACACGAAATTTTGCACCAAAGCTCTCCAAAACAAATTCTTCAAATTTGAAGAAATTGTGAAAATCATATCTCGCATGTCCAACGGTTTTTAAACTGATCCAAACCTTTCATTGTCCTCCTGAAGGCTAGGAGTCAGAATCAATCATTATCCTTTTCAAATAAACCCCAGAAACACACCCTCACATCGATTCTGGTTGGTAAGTTAGTAGGTTTCGTGTTCTCAAGATTTTCACACTTTAAATCCATGTAAACCTGTTTGTTTCATTTATACGTATTTTCTGCAATTTTCTAATGTTTTACATGTAAGCATGAAGGTAGAAATAATAATCATGACCATGGGGCACCCCAAGGCGCATTCCCCACTGGATCAGAACAAAGCTCCTTGACTCATTCGTTTTGAGCCAATTGTTCTCCTTCCTTACACCCTATAATATAGTGAGAGAACTGATTCTTATACTGGTTTCGCGTTTGTATTTGCAAATGTCGCGGTAAGCAAGAGTCGCCACCGACTTTTCTTTTATCTAACAAAGGAAAGGGTGAAAAGAACAGAAAAAGACCTTTTGAGATTATTTGAGTAAGAGGGATAGATTATGGAAAGGGAAGGTGTTAGCACCCTTTCTATCCGTAGTTTTCTACGGGCTCTTAGAATGCGTAGTTCATTTTTTGAAATAATTTGTGCTTTGTGTGTTTTTGAAAAGTATTTTGAAATGCCTTAGTGCGGCGATTTTCTTTATGGTAACTCTTGTATCAGTCCTCAAGAGTGTTGATAAAGTATTTTTGAAAAGGTTTTTGAAAATTGTTTTGTGTAAGTGTAGAAAGTTTGTTTTTGAGCATAACATCTAGGAATTGTCTGCTTTTACTCGAAAGATTCGTTCTTTTCCTCCTTTCCTTTAGCCAGTGCTATCCTACTATTAGTGAGTAGGTAGCCCTATCGTTGGATGTATGTGGGATATTCGAAGGGATGATTTATAGTCACAAAGGCAAGTTGGAAAGGAATTTTTGTAACTACCCTAGGGTTCTAAGGTCATTTTTTATCGAGGCAACATCGAGAGGGTCATCGAGAGAGTTATGATCTTTTGAACTGGTGGGTAGCCACTAAAATATCTCACGTTTTGAGAGTTGTGACTATTTCCAAAGGCAACCAAAGTGGGAGTACCTTAGAGGTGTGCATGTGCAAGTGCGTTGTGTTTCAGTTATTTATCTTGATGTTTAATTTGCTAACGTTTTGTTTTATTATATTGTCATGCAATCCTATATACAACACATCTAAGTAGTTAATATATGTACGGGAATTAAAAGTGTGGAAATGTAAAGTGCGGAAATGTAAATCCTAAACTATTACATGGCTTCGGGGAAGGGGAATTACAAACCAACAAAAAAGAATAAGAAAATGTAAAGGTCCTAGATTAAACTATTAAAATCCATAGACAATTACATAATATTTGAAAATAAAAATGCGAATAAAATAAATTACCACGTGGAAAAGAGAAAGCCCTAAAAATTACTAGGTGACAAAAGAAAGAAATATTTTTGGTTGCTTCGTGTTTTCGGTTGAGAAACACTTGAGTTAAATTAAGAAATCCCTAAGTTTAATTAATTAATTAAAAAAATATTAATAAAAATTAATTTAATTAAAAAAATATTAATAATAATTAATTTAATTAAAAAAACTAATTCTAATTATTTTTGGGTTTTTTAATTTTATGATTTTTTTAAATTATAAAAAAAAATAATTAAAGAAAAAGTTAAATAAATACAGTAAACAAGAAAAATAAGAAATGGGCCATGTGAAGCTGAAAGAGGGGGTGTGAGATCTAGTATTTATTTGGCCCAATCCAGAAGAAGCCCAGGATGCGCCTGACTTCAGTGTTGTTGGTCCTCAGGGGGTGCACCATGGGCTGCATGTTGGAACGCCTGGATCTGCAAACAAATTTTAGAAAAAACGAAAAGTGCCTGATCTGGGATTTAAACCCAGGTCCTTCCTCCAACTCCCCCCTTCCTTTACCGTCTGATCTAGCTATTCAATCAAAAGGAATGACACCAATATTGAATCCTGCGAATTATGTTAATTTCAAAACAACCAAACGAAAACCTATCCCAATCGAAATCATCCCCTGAACCCAAATATGAGGCTGTTTCGATTTGTAATGGTCGGTATCATAAGTTTTGAAAGTGACTATTTCGAAAGACCCCTGGAAATGGTATCCTAGCATCTGGGTGTTGCAACTTACATATATTACATTAAATCATTCATAAACAATAATATGAACATGCAAGCAATATCGATTCAAATTATAGATTAGATGGGATTGAAAATTTCATTACCCACTCGGAGGTGCTTCGATTTGGAATCCTGAGTGTGGGAAAGCCTGCAATGAGGGTTGTAGAACTCTGGGATTCTTTGAAAATTTGAGGAATTTTTGGTGCTCTTTCAAGGCAAGCTGCGCGTGTGAGGTAGTATATTTGTCTTGATTTTGTGTTTGTGTCTTGTATTTATAGGAGGTGGAGGAGACAAGAAAATGGGGAAAGAAACATGGCATTTAAAGACCAACCATTAAACATGGCTCTTAAAAACAAAATCAGACAAATTGAATAATTTCCATTTTGAGTTATTCATGCCATTTTTTTGAAATTTTGAATGAATCTGGACAAGTCAGTTTTGGCGCCTTGCACGAATTCAAATTGCTCAGAATTTCTCTCACCAGAGCTTCTTCGATCAACTCTTGTTCTTGTGATGGTTCTAAGTTTCGATTAGAATTGCACATACTCTCGGCATCATGGATTCTTAGATCATCCCCCCAAGCGTTACTTTCTTCAATTGCCCTTCTTTCAATTCAAACCAATCAAAGCATCAACTCTTCCTTTTTGACTGGTCGAATGCTGCTTCAACTCTTTATCAATCGAAGGCTTTATAGAAGCCTCATCACCTGTTCGAAGTCCATCAATCGAAAACTTCCCAAAATCCTTCTCATGCATTCGAAATCCATCATTCGAAGGCTTCCCAAAAGACTCCTCACATATTCGAAGTCCATCAAATCGAAGGCTTCAGACAAGCCTCCTTCACATTCGAGAATCATCAAATCGAAGACTTCGAACAAGCCTTCTCCGTGTTCGAAAACTATAAAATCGAATCACCATAAAAGGTCTCCTCATGCATTCGAACTTCATCAACACGAAAACTTCATAAAAAGCCTCCTTATACATTCCTTCTATTTGTTCTCACTTCGATCTAGTGTCAGTTATTCCAAACTTGTGCAACCCTTGTTGGAAATCCAATGCTTAGGAGGAGAATTTATCTGATCAATTCTTGGTCAACCTTGAGCAACTGAGGATCTTAATGAGCATGTCTTTAGTGGAATGGGAGGGTAAATTTTGGGGTACAACAGCTGCCCCTGTTCAATCTTCTTAAACCTAAAGATTTAAATTGGCTTGTTTGCCTTTTGTGATCTGAAGGTGGAAGATGATTGAACATTAGAGTGCCCAGAAATTTGCACTCGCATGATGTGATGATTGACTGTGTGGGGAATGGGCTTAAATATTCCATTTGGAAAAGATGACTGGGAGTTGTGAGATATGGGCTTAAAGATGCCATCCAAAGTAAGTGCTGACTTCATAAGAGATCCCTTTGTGGGGAATTCCTGTTTCTGCTATCTCAGGAGGAGTCCACTGGGGAAGGTTGATTTCTGTTGTTCTCCTGCTTGAGGAAAACTCTGTGGGGAATAGGTTCTAGGAACTTTAGTTGTCCAAGGCTCTACTGAGGAATTATCTTTGGA